CAGAAGTCTGGAAGTTAATCAAAGACTTGTGACAATTCAGGGAGTGTTTATTCAAGAAAAACAGTTGAATCTTGAATCTCACTAAGAACAGTGAGCTTAATTTGCCCTGTTTCCAATACCCACTTCCCCAAGCTCTGTGGTAGCCTTGAAAATCAACACCTCACAATCACAGTGAAAACCAGCAGACTGTCAGCCACTGGAGGGGGAAAAACAGGACTAGAGCACCTCCAAAGACTTATTTTCAGGGAACTTCATAATTTGACCTGTTTGGTAGTTACCTGGAAAATTCCAGTTGCAAGGCAGTCATTATTTGACTTGATTTGTAGCTCACCCAGTATGAAAAGCCTTTTCCCTGGGGACTTTTGTTGAAGATACGTAGAGGCAATTGCTTAATTTCGTGACTGAGGCAGTGGCTAACAGCTGGCAAACAACAGGATAACCAAAAAGATTAAAAGGAAAAGCTGGGAAATGAGATGCCCATAGGAACTTTGAAAAGCTCCAACATATTCCTGGGAAACTAGGAGGCCATGTGCATGCATAAGGCCACATACATGCCCAGGACACTGTGCATGCTCAGGAAAGACCTGAGAAAGCCCTAAGTTCTCACCTCTGTGCAACCTAACCTTGAAGCTGTGTGCAAGCAGGAAGTGAGGGCTAAGGCAGAGTTGTCAATTGCCCGGCTGGATATTGGAGGCATGCCCCAATATGTACAAAGAGCCCCTCTGCAAAGACTGGGAGACTTATTGGGTTCCCAGCATTTAAGGAAATCTCTGTCTAATTATTACCTAACCTAAGCTAACTGAGCAGAGACTTAAGTGTCAAAAACAAACAAACAAAAACTATCAGAAATGAAGGAAGAAATAGACGACGATAATTGCTGGAGACTTCAATATGACACTTTCAATAATGGATAGAACAACTAGACAGAAAATAACCAGGAAACAGAAGACTTGCACAACACTATAAATCAACTGGACCTAATAGACATCCGTAAAACACTCTACCCAACAACAGCACAATATACATTCTTCTCACGTCTATCTGCAGGATAGACAATATGTAGGCTATAAAACAAGTTCAAAACAAATTTAAACATAAAACAAATTTTAAAAGATTAAAGTTGATAAAGATGTCTTCTTGGACCACTGTGGAATGAAATTGAAATCAATTAACAAAAGGAAACATGGGAAATTCACAAATATGTGGAAATTAAACAACACATTTCCGAATAACCAATAAGTCAAAGAAAATCACAGGAGAAATTAGTAAAGACTTTGAGGGGCCGGCCTGGTGGTGCAGCAGTTAAGTGCACACATTCCGCTTTGGCGGCCTGGGGTTTGCCAGTTCGGATCCCAGGTGCAGACATGGCACTGCTTGGCAAGTCATGCTGTGGTAGGCGTCCCACATATAAAGTGGAGGAAGAGGGGCTCAGATGTTAGCTCTGGGCCAGTCTTCTTCAGCAAAAAGAGGAGGATAGGCAGGAGTTAGCTCAGGGCTAATCTTCCTCAAAAAAAAAGAAAAAGAAAAAGAAAAGAAAAGACTTTGAGAATAATGAAAATGAAATCACAACATACCAAATCTTTTGAGATACAGTGAAAGTAATGATTAGAGGGCAATTTCTAGCTATAAAAACCTATATTAAAAAAGAAGAAAGATACCAAAAAAAAAAAAAGAAGAAGAAAGATACCAAATCAATAACATAACCTTCCATCTTAAGACTAGAAAAAGAAGGGCAAACTAAACTCAAAGCATGTAAAAGGGAGGAAACAATAAAGATTAGAGTATAAATAAATGAAATAGGGAAAAGAAAAACAATAGAGAAAATCAATGAAACTAAAAGTTGATTCTTTGAAAACATCAATAAATTTACAAACCTTTAGCTGGACTAACAAAGACAAAAAGAGAGAAGAATCAAATTACTAAAATCACGAATAAAAGAGGGAACACTACTATCAACCTTACAGGAATAAAACAGATTATAAGGAATGCTATGTACAATTGTATGCCAACAAATTAGATAGTTTAGATGAAATGGACAAATTCCTGGGAAGATACAAACTGCCAAAATGGACAGAAGAATAAAGAGAAAATTGGAATAGACCTATAAGAAGTAAAGAGATTGAATTAATAATAAAGAAAATTCTTATAAATAAAAGCTCAGGGGGGCTGGCCCCGTGACCGAGTGGTTAAGTTCGTGTGCTCCACTGCAGGCGGCCCAGTGTTTCATTGGTTCGAATCCTGGGTGCGGACATGGCACTGCTCATCAAACCATGCTGAGGCAGCATCCCACATGCCACAACTAGAAGGACCCACAACTAAGAATATACAACTATGTACTGGGGGGCTTTGGGGAGAAAAAGGAAAAAAATAAAATCTTAAAAAAAAAAATGAAAAAATAAAAGCTCAGGACCAGAAGCCTTCACTGTATGAAGAAACTGATGAATTCTAGCAAAGGTTTACAGTCCTTCACAAATTCTTTTGAAAAAAAGAGGAAGAAACACTTCTCATCTGAGTCTATGAGACCAGCATTACCCTGGTACCAAAATCAGATGAAGATCTTACAAGAAAAGTGGACTATGGAGCAATATTCCTCATGAATCTAAATGTAAAAATCCTCAGTGAAATGCTAGCAAACTGAATCCAGCAATATATAAAAAGGATTATACATCATGACCAAGTGGTTTTTATCCCAGGAATGCAGGGTTGGTTCAACATATGAAGATCAATCAATATGATACACCATATAAGTAGAATAAGGAACAAAAACCACATGATCATATCAATAGACACAGAAAAGGCATTTGACAAAATCCAACACCCCTTCGTGTTAAAAATATTCAACAAACTGAGAATGCAAAAGAACTTCTGCTACCTAATAAAGGGTATTTATGAAAAACCTGCAGCTAAAATCATACTTAACAAGGAAAGACTGAAAGCTTTCTCCCTAAGGTCAGGAATAAGACAAGGGCATTCACTCTCACCACGTCTGTTCAACGTTGTACTAGAGATTCTACCTGGGGCATTTATGCAAGAAAAATAAATAAAAGGCATCCAAATTAGAAATGAAGAAATAAAACTATCTTTATTTGCATGTGACATGATCTTGCTTTTGGAATATTCCTAAAGAAACTACAAAAAAAAACAGAGCTAAAAAATGAGTTCAGCAAGGTTGCAAGATACGAGATCAATATACAAAAATCAATTATATTTCTAAGCACTAGGAATGACCAATCTGAAAATGAAATCAAGGAAACAATTCCATTTACAATAACACTAACAGAATAAAATACTTAGGAATAAATTTAACAAAAGAAGCAAAAGACCTGTACACTGAAAAATACAAAACATCATTGAAAGAAATTAAAGAAGACCTAAATAAATGGAAAGAGATCATGTTTATGGATAGGAAGATTTAATACTTAAGTTGACAATACTTTCCAATTGATCTACAGATTGAGTGCAATCCCTATCAATATCTCAGCTGGCTTCTTTGTAGAAATTGATACGGTGATCCTAAAATTCGTGCAGAAATTCAAGGGACCAGAATAGTCAAAACAACCTTGAAAAAGAAAAGCAAAGTTGGAGGATTTACACTTCCTGACTTCAAAACTTACTACATAGCTGCAGTAATTAAGACTGTGTGATTCTGACATAGGGATAAACAGATAGATCAATAGAAGAGAATGAAGAATCAAGAAATAAACCCATATATTTATAGTCAGCTGATATCTGACAAGAGTGCCAAGATAATTCAATGGGGTTAAAGAATAGTCTTATCAACAAATGGTGGTGGGACAATTGGATATCCACAAGCAAGAGAATGATGTTGGATCCCTACCTCACACTATATACAAAATTAATTCAAAATGGATTAAAGACCTAAATGTATGGCCTAAAACCATAAAGCCTTAGAAGGAAACATAAATGTAAATCTTCATGACCTTGAATTAAGCAGTGGTCTTAGGTATGACACCAATACCACTAGCAACCAAAGAAAAAATAGATCAATTGGATTTTATCAAAATTAAAAATGTTTGTCCTTCAGAGGACACTATTAGGAAAGTGGAAAGACAGCACAAAGAATAAGAGAAAATATTTGGAGATTATATATCTTATAAGGTCTGCTCTTTAGGATGTGTAAAAACTCTTACAACTCAATAATAGGCAAATAACCCAATTGAAAAATGGGCAAAGGATTTGAATACACATTTCTCCAAAGAATATTTACAAATGTCCAATAAGCATATGAAAAGATGCTCAACACCATTATCATCAGGGAAATGCAAATCAAAATGACAAAGAGAGAGCACTTCACACCCACTAGGACAGCTATAATAAAAAAGACAGACAATAACATGTGTTGACAAGGATGTGGAGAAATTGGAACCCCTCTTGATTGCTTATAGAAGTGTAAACTGGCACAACTACTTTGAAAAACAGTTTAATAGTTTATCAAAAAGTTAAATATAGAGTAATCGTAAGACACAGAAATTCTATTCCTAGATAGATACCTAGGAAAATTGAAAACATGTGTCACGCAAAAGGGCATAAACAAATGTTCATAGCAGCATTATTCATAATAGCCAAAAGGTGAAAACAACCCAAATGTCCATCAATTGATTAACAAAATGTGATTTATCCATACAATGGAATATTATTCAACCATAAAAAGAAATGAAGTAATGATACATGCCACAAAATGGATGAAACTTGAAAACATTGTGCTAAGTGAAGGAAACCAGATATAAAAGTCCACATATTGTATGATTCCATTTACATGAAATGTCCAGAGGCCGGCCCCATGGCTGAGTGGTTAAGTTCCTGTGCTCTGCTTTGGCGGCCCAGGGTTTCGCTGGTTCAAATCCTGGGCGTGGACATGGCACTGCTCATCAGGCCACACTGTGGTGGCACCCCACATGCCACAACTGGAAGGATCCACAACTAAAAATACACAACTATGTACTGGGGGGCTTTGGGGAGAAAAAGGAAAAATAAAATCTTTAAAAAAAAAGAGAAAAGAAATGTCCAGAACAGGCAAATCCATAGAAACATAAAGTGGCTTCGTGTTTTCTGGAAGCAAGCCAGGAGGAGGGGAAAGGGGAGCAACTGCTAATGAGTACAGGGTTCCTTTAGGGTGATGAAAATGTTCTGGAATTAGATAGTGGTGATGGTACACCTTTGTGAATATACTAAAAACCACTTTTATAGGATACTTTAACAGGGCAAATTTTATGTCTGTGAATTATATCTCAATTTTTTTAAAAAGCCTTCATTAACACCTTCAGGTTCTTGACCCTACCATTTTCTCCCAATTTGTCTTATCAATCTCTGGCCTCACTGCCTTCCCAAACAGATTGGCTGTCTATGCCTTTGCCCATAGTATTCCTTCTACCTGGAATGATCTCCCTTTCTCCTCCTTGTTTGCAAGGCTAACTCTTATTCTTTATCTTTCAAATCCGCAGGCACCACTTTCCTCCAGAAAGCCTTCCTGAACCTTCCAAAGTTCATCACTTCCTCCTCTGTAGCATTTCTGTCCCTCATACGCACTCTCAGTATTTATCACGCAGCTCTAATTTCTTTATTTAGGTCTCTATCTCCCCACTGCAATGAGCTCTTTGAGAGCAAGAATTACATCTTAAAGATTGTTGCATCCTAAGAGCCCAGAACACATAGTTGTGATTCAGTAAATGTTTGTTGAATTGTGGTTGAAGCTAAAACTCTGTTTCATGCTGCATATTGCATTGAGTAATAGTTGTTTGTGTTGTCCTCTTTTTTTCAAAAAACAAGGAAGATGTTGGTCCTTCATTAGATGGTCTTGGATTTATTGCTACAAAACTATTCCAACTAATTTTTCGTCAAGGATTTCAAGAGGAGTAAAATACCTTAGCACTGAATCTCAACATTCCTGGTATGCAAAACGCCATCTTACTAAGGGACTCTTGTTTCTGGCAGGGCTGCCTCTATTCTGTGCCAGCGGGCAGAGTCCTCGGAGGTGAAGCTTCTTCAGTAAGTGCAGCGACCAAAGGAAAATTAATTGCTGCCTTTACATTGTGCTTGTGTAATCTATCAGAAGAAATGGTCAGAAAAAATAGAGACACTAGATGACTCTGCAGAGATGCTGCTAATACTTCTGCTATTGTCAAACTACCCTGTCAGAAATGCATTTGAAGTTGATCCATACCAGCCCTTGGACCAATTTGTGTAGGTCACAGCAAATATTAATTCTTGCCAAAATAAATGGGTGAAGAGAACATGTTAATAGAGCTGCATCCAAGATATAATCTTGTTTGTCTGAGAAGTCCTCATTGTTTCTAGAAAAGAGGTTAAATAGTCAGAAACTATCTTCCCCTCATCCTGTTGCTGTTTCCTCTGTCTTTCCCCACACAATTCCTCAAAGGCATCTTTCTAAAATTAGCATTCACAATCGAATCACTCACTGCTCTTTTTAAAACTGAAAAATGTCACTACTTCTCTAAATCTTAATGATTTTTAAGGCTCTATGCTCTCAATTCATGTGATGGTTAATTTTATGTTTCAACTCGTCTGGGCTAAGGGGTGACCAGATAGCTGGTAAAATATTATTTCTGGATGTACTGTGAGGGTGTTTCTGGAAGAGATTAGCATTTGAATCAGTAGACTGAGTAAAGAAGATGGCTCTCACCAATGCAGGTGGGCATCATCCAGTCAATTGAGGAACTGAATAGAACAAAAAAGTGCAAGAAGGGAGGATTTGCTCTTTGCTTGAGCTGGGTCATTCGTCTTCTGCTGCTCTTGGACATGGCGCTTCTGGGTCTCAATCAAGCCTTTGGACTGGAACTGAATTACCCCACTGGCTTTCCTGGGTCTCCAGCTTTCAGATGGCAGACAGTGGGACTTCTCAGCCTCCATGTTCGCATGAGCCAATTCCTATAACAAGTCTCCTGTTATATGTATTTCTCTATATACTATTGGTTCTGTTTCTCTGGAAAACCAGACTAATACAACCCAGTACTATAAGCACGTCAACCTCAAAAAGCCCAAAGCACAACTTTCAGGTCAAACTGTTAGAAAATTTGGTTACATCATCAAAGACTGGTGTTTTCCAATGAAAATACACTTTTTAGAAAGGAGGGTGTCCCTGAAGACAAGATTATTTAATATTTAAGGAAACTTGATTTTATAAAATATGGCCAAAAGCCAGACAGTAGAGTGATAAGGAAGCAAGGCGAATGCCCTATCTGTGTCATTTCTTGTCCCTTCAGCTGGACACAGCTGGGAACATCAACACCATCAAGTGGTGCAGCTGTTTCAGAGGGCTCCGTCAGGACTGAAAGTGCTGATGATTTCATAGTCGTAGTTCATATTAATCTACCATGTCTTCTGTGTGAAGCCCAGTGACAGATGTCATAAATGCTACCATAGTCATGATCCACTCCAGGGGATTTGAGGTGACAGTTGGTTCCAGGGCATGGGAGAACCTGATGTGTTGAACATCTGTTGCAAAGAGAATAAGTGACTACACAGGGAAAGCCAACTTACAGGGATTTCCCTGTTCATGGTTTTTAGAGACATATGCTGAGTGGCATTTACTGCTCATTAGCTCAGATACCTTGGAGAGATTCTGCCTAAACTACTATAAATCTCTTATTTGAGCAGCATGTAGATGGTTATGTATATTCATGAGGTGAAAGAAAAAAGCTGGTATGTTTCTGAAAGGAGAGAGCAGCAAAAGGCCAGAGAGTTTAAAATGTAGCTCCATGTTAACTGGAGCATCCTTAACAAGTGTACCACACACACACCCCTTCTTGAGCCCTTGGCAGACATCAGTAATCAATCACTGTAGATGCTCACTGCTGAGACTCTGCTCTCTGAGTCTGTTTCAGCTCAGGGCTCCAGGGAGCCACTACCTGTCCTTCAGTTTTGACTCTCCTAAAGAAACTGCCATCCCTGGCCTAGTTTCCCCAATTAGCTGGAGACAGCATGCTAAGTACTTTTAGTTGTATTCCCTGCCCTTCTTCCTGCCACCTTGTCTCAGATTCCAGCTTTCCTTTCTCAAGGCACCCTTTATGACCTTCTCTCTTTGTGACCCTCCATGGTCACAACTTGCCCAAGAGGCGCTGCACAGTTAGGATGACATTCAGTATATTTAACAACTGGTTCAGCCCGGGTACTGATCAACCAGAATGGCTCCCCGCCCATAAACAGCCATGAAGACAGCCCTTCACATGGTGCATGTTACCTTAGAGAAGCATGGCAGCTGGCCAGGGCGTTGACATTTTCAGGCAGTGTTTGCAAGATATACTGACCTGTATACTCTATAAAAACAGAACTGTCTGGAAATTCCAAAGGACTTTTGAATTAGCATGACTGCTCAGTTCAGATTTATGGCCTTCATGCTGATGGGCTCAGCGCAGTCCTTGTCCTCATGAAGGGTATGTGTGAGCACGTCCTCTCTTGGATCTTTAGCATTCCTTGGTTATAGCCCATCCTCCACCTCAACTCTCTGGAATTCTCTACAGCTAAGAATTCTTCTCTTTGGTTCATTTTTTATATTGAAGTACACCCAGAAAACAAATTATTTGGAGGCTTATGTGGTTCCCTCTCAGCCTTAGGCTCAAAAAGTGCTGTCCTTTATCACTTGAAAAGAAAAATAATAAAGGAAAACCTCCATCTAGCAAATGAATGCTTATCTCCTCCTTGAATGAAATGTATGTTGGAACTATTTACAATATGCGTTCCTTAAATCTTTTGCCTGCACTCAATACCCCAATTCGTTTGTTAGTTGATTCCAGGACTCCACACCAGACCTACTGAATGGGAACCTGTAGGCAGGAGGGCGAGGACTCCACATTTTTAAATAAGGTTTGCAAACATGGGGTTTACAGACTTCTGGTCATTCTTCCCAAAGTGTTGGCCTTCCCTTGAACTGATTTCTTAACAATGAAGACTTGAAAATTCAGAACATTGGTCTTTCTTTTCCATCTTCATAGTGGAATTTAATCACAGATTAAACGAGGTATCAGATATAGAAATAAACACTGGCCCATGTATCACTGAATACAAGGCCAGTTGCTAGTTGTGGCCCTGGAGGGCAAATGAGTCATTTGTTTTTGTATCATGAAATCCAGTCAATGTTACTTATTCTTATGGACAGAGGGAGAATCAAGGATAGATGTTACCAAAGAAGAGATAATCTAGAATATTTTACACCTAGCTCTAGAACGCACTCAGGGCCACAGTGTGACTAGCGTACTTATTCTCACTTGGCCCCTGGCCTTGGGACCTTTTCAGATTCCCTCACCCACCCAACAGCCAGGAAGAGGCCGAGTGTCATGGATTAACCAGTCCTGGTCAAGCCAGGATTGTCTCTATTAACAGGGAATCCCTGTGCCCCTAATATCTTTTCATGATTTCTTTTTAGGTTTTAGGATTAAAATGCCAGTCCCCAAATAGTCTTCAATGGACATCAAAAGTATATCCCAGATTAAAATATGTGTTTTGTGGTTTTATTTTGGGAATTAAGCTAGTGAGTTTAAAAGGCTATGGACTTTGGGCTCAGACAAACTGAGTTCAAATTTAGACTTTGCTGGTTAACAACTTGTGACCTTGTTCAAATGACTTGTCTTCTTTGAGCTTCAGATTTCTCCATTTTAAATGGGCCTAATACTTCCTTAGAGTTATCGAGATGATTCAATGCAATAATGGATATGCAAGCACCAAACACAGTTCCTGACACACAGTATACGCTCCATAAATGTTAGTGTCCTTCCACTTAAGAAGCTGGGTAAATTTCCAAAGCTTAACATTATCTCTGCTGGCCAAAGTAAGTTAATCATTGACTGACAAAACCAGGTCACAAAAGATCTAGGAAACAATAACAAGGTTGTTCTTCAGCTCAGTGTTTCCAAGCAGACTTTGGAATCTTATGGACGAGTACATTTTATGGACGTTAAAAACACCAATTTAATGCCAAAGAGTGGGAAGGACATTATCTCAAAAGAAAGAACAGTTGGCAATAATACGCACATTCACATACTCACACATGGACACATACCACATTTTTCCTTGTAAGTTGATCAGACCCGACTGGACTTGGACCTTTGGGGAGCCACTGTTCTAGAAGTAACACTAAATCTGTCTTCTCAGGCCACAGAACTCCATGAGTCAGCGCCACCCTCTGGAAACCTCCCATGGGACCCAGCAACAAAGGTGCCACCAATCCCTGGAAGGCTGCATCAGTGTGCTGCCCGAAGGTGAGACTTCTTGATGGAACTGGCATGCCACAACCACTGACTCCAACAGCCTCCGCCGAATTCCTCAGTATGTATGTAGAGACAGGTACTCTTTCCATTTCACATGTGAAAAACTACAATATAAAGGGGTTAAATGATCTTTCTAACTCACCTTGATTTAGTGGTGAAAACAGGATGTGAAACCATATTTTAAAGCTGGAACCAATGTTCAGAGATTTGAGGGCAATCCGCCAGTCACCTATCCATTCTGCAGGCAAGAAAAATAGAACAAGTAGGGCAATTTGAAATCTTCCAGCGTCAATCTGGGCAGCAAAAATGATATTAATGCCTTTTTTTATCCCCAGGAATATGTGTACTCTATAAGCCAATTATTTAAAGAAAAGTTCACATGTGAGTGATTTATTTAGATATAAACATGAATGTTTATTAACAGAATATAACAAATTTTTTAAAGGTGGTAAAGTCACAAATGTCACAAAATCTAAAAAATGTTATATGTGTATTGATTAAATGTGTGACATACTTCTATACTCCTCTTTTTTTTTTAACATGTGAGGGATTTGGATATTATTGATGTCAGAAGAATTGCATGTAAATTGAGGAGTTCCAGGGTCCTCTGAGGAGTGAGGTAGGGGAAGGGAGTAAGTCCATCTACAGAGGAGGAAAACTGAGGCCCAGAGAGGCAAAAACTGGATTCTGGTCATCATTCTGCCAAAGGTTCACTGTGAGACGGGAGCAAGTCTCAACTTTGCTATCTCAGTCTCATGTTCCTGCCACTGCGCTTCATATTCTAAGGGCTGCAGTCATCAACACGCTTACCCAAACTCAGAATAAAATGCTTTGGAGTTAAGACAGGAAGGTTTCATGGGAAGACAAAGCCTTACTGTTGACAAATACTTGTAGGCCAGTTGGGAGTAATGATGTTTTCTGCTGCTGATGTCTGTCCTTCAGGAGCCAGGTGAACACTGCAAATAGAGATGAGAGACAAGTTTCACCTGTTCAAAAATGTCTCTGCCATCAGCGTGTGCCTGAAATTCCTGCTATTTGTCTCTGAACCCCTGTGTAGACAGCACTGGGTGCACAGTGGCGCCCTGCCCTCATGAAGTTTACCATCTACTGGAGGAGATGGACATCACACAATTATGAGATTGTCGTACTTGGTGGTGAGATCTAAGAAGGAAAGGAGCAGAGCCACAGCTCAGTTGGGGGAAGGGACTTGGAAGCCTGCACTGGAGCGTGGGAAGGAGTTAACAGAGGGCTTAGTGGAGGAGGAGCTCTCTGGGCAGTGGCAGCAGCGCTGGCCATAGGCCAAGGCCCCAGGGGTAGTGGGGGAGTCAAGAGCTTGCTGAGTCCCAGGAATTGCCCTTGAGGCTGAAGCAAATGGTGAGAGAGGGAAAGTTGTAGGAAATAAATTGGAGACTTTACCAGGGTCTGGTATTTCCAACAAGTAACTTTACAATTAAAGAATGTTGCCTTGAATGTAACAAATGAAGCCACTGGATAACTTGGTGTGAATGAGTGTATTAGGTGGTCTAGCCTCAGTGGGAGAGTGACAAAGGGCAGTCAGATTTGATGAAGGCAGAAGAAGGTATGGTCTGGAAGGGACGCTTGGGGAGGAGCTCCATCCCACCCCGTGGGCCGAGGCATTGGGTAGAGATAGGTGCATCAAGAGGTGGGAAGACTGAGGGGGTGTCAGACGTCATCCAGTGGCCCAGCTGAGTCACTCCCTACACTGTGAGCCTCACTAAAGCTGCTTCATCAACCACACACTTCCATCGGACCTGGCTCTGCAGCTGAATTGAGCCATGGCATCTTGGAGCTGAAGGGACGAGGACGATAGTTTAGTTCAAGTCACTCGTTTTACAGGTTATGATTCTGTGGCCCAATTCAGTTGAAGTGGAAGCCCACGGCTGGTGGTGAAATCCAGGGCCAGTCTCCTGACTCTCACCAAAATGCTGTACCCGCCAGCCTCACGGTTGATCACGAGCTTCTTCACGTGATCAGAATCAGCTGTCAAGGGAACTGGGTCATATAAAGTAGGATAGTAGGCGCTTAAGAAATGCAAGCTGAGGGGCCAGCCCCGTGGCCGAGTGGTTGGGTTTGCGCAGTCCACTTGGGCAGCCTGGGGATCAACAGTTTGGATCCTGGGTGAGGACCTACACACTGCTCATCAGGCCATGCTGTGGAGGCATCCCACATAGAAGAACTAGAATGACCTACAACTAGGATATACAACTGTGTACTGGGGTTTTGGGTAGAAAAGAAAAAGAGGAAAATTGGCAACAGATGTTAGCTCAGGGGCAATCTTCCTCACCAAAAAAAATTAAATTAAATTAAAAAAGCAAGTTGAAATAAATTACTTCTCTGATCAGATTTTTTTTCAAGATTTAGTTTCTTTTCAAGTTTATATAGATTGAAGACTAAAGCAGACAACTACAGTCCCATGCTCAGATGAACTTGTGATTCATCAACATTCTTTCAAAGAATTGCTATTTTGCCACTTAAAAACAATATTTTGGGTAGAGGATATTTAAGGAAATGAAATATATGAAATGCATCATTATACTCATCAAAGAAATTGAGTAGAATCTGAAGTAGGTTTCTTTTTAAATTAATAAACTAAATGTATTGAGATCTACAGTATGTTCATTTAAGGGGTGGGAGAAAAGTTGGAGGTCGGTGAAGGGGCAAATAATGGTTCATTTCACTTCTAGGAGAGACTATGTTGAAGAAAAACCTAAATTCAGAGTTTCTAAAAGTCAAAACAAAGGAGATGATATACAACAATTGCAGAGTAAGAATTCGTAAAATTTTGGCTCTGTATGTGTCTTTTTAGAAGTATAAAGAACACCAGAAAGAGAAGGCATAAAAGGCATTTCCCTGAGAATATAGCAATATACAGAGTGTGTTTGTGTGTGTCTGTGTGTGTGTGTGTTTGTGTGTGTGAGCTCCTGACACATGAGCACAGTGCTGTTTCCATGGTAATGGGGGGAAAAAGTATGCCTTGTCATGAAGCAATCTTCTTAGATTCAGACACACTTATAAAGATCTATGTACCAAAAGCTATGGAGGAGATATTTTTAAACCAAAAGAAAAATTATTCTTTTTTGTTTTTTTTGAGGAAGATTAGCCCTGAGTCAAATCTGCCTCCAATCCTCCTCTTTTTGCTGAGGAAGACTGGCCCTGAGCTAACATCTGTGCCCATCTTCCTCTACTTTTTTATATGTGGGATGCCTGCCACAGCATGGCTTGACAAGCAGGGCATATGTCCACACCTGGGATCCCAACCGGCGAACCCCAGGCTGCCGAAGCGGAATGTACCAACTTAACAGCTGCGCCACCAGGCTGGCCCCAAGAAAAATTATTCTAATATTCTCTGAGATGACCTCCCAAGAGGTCAGTCTATCATCCCTTCCTCTCCTAGCCATTCTCACATGCTGGACCTGCCTGCTACTTCCATGCTGAATTTCCGGTACCTTTTTAACACGTGATACTCTGTTTGCCCAAAGCCAGCCTAGATACAGCCTCAGTCACTGGTACCATCTACTGTATCCCTTGGGGTTTCTCAAACCCGGCTGTGGGATAGGGCAAAGATCTCATAATCATCACGCTTGAAAACAAACTCATAGGCTTTTTTCTTATTAAAGTTTTACCACTAATTGTGTGTGTGTGTGTGTGTGTGTGTGTAGTAATTTGGAGAGGAATGCAAAGAATCATCACGGAGTTTTTTTAAAAATGTGAGAAATTTGACAATATATCCAAAGTTCTTCTAGCCGTCGTCCTTGGTCTGGAACGTCTGACTTCCTTTTGAGATGTTTAAAAAAATAAGGAGGCCTTAGTTTTCAGCCCTCCATTTTTATTCCTGGACATGGGGTTCACGAACTTTTCCCTTTCTTCTGATCTCGCCTTTACATGTAGACAAAGTTAAATATCAGAAAATATCAGAATCAATGTCCCCTCTTCCTTTTTTTTTCTTTTAAAAGATTGGCACCTGAACTAACATCTGTTGCCAATCTTTTTTTTTTTTTTCTTCTCCCAAAGCCCCCCAGTACACAGTTGTATATTCTAGTTGTGAGCGCCTCCAGTTGTGCTATGTGGATGCTGCCTCAGCTTGGCTTGATGAGTGGTGCCATGTCCACACCCAGGATCCGAACCGGTGAATCCCTGGGCAGTCGAAGTAGAGCTCGCAAACTTAACCACTTGGCCACGGGACCAGCCCCTTCCCTCCCCATCAACGGCAAGTTGATGTCTGAGGCTCTACCCACCCAGGGGTGATCTCTGAACTTTTCCTCAAAGACATATAATGTGGTTTCTAGCAGTGGCTGCTAATTGAAATTTTGTTATTTCTAATTAATTCTTACAAGTAATAATAGCGTTGTTTACTTATTTCCCTTTCTTGTCTTTTAGTGGCTAGCACTTCCAGAAATAGTGATCCCAGTTAATAAGAATGTCTCAAGGGGTTAAACGTGTTTTATTTTATTTTATTTTGGTGAGGAAGATTGGCCCTGAGCTAGCATCTGTGCCAGTCTTCCTCTATTCTGTATGTGAGGTGCTGCCACAGCATGACTTGATGAGCAGTGTGTAGGTCTCCACACCCAGGATCTGAACCTGCGAACCCCAGGCTGCCAAAGCAGAACATGTGAACTTAACCACTACGCCACCAGGCAGGCCCCATGGTTAGACTTATTTTGAAGAGAATAAGCTTAGACATTTATCCACAGTAGTTTCCTTATGGGAAGCAGTTCATGCTTTCTTAACCCACAGTGTGATATGGGCTGCACAAATTGCCACCCAGCAAGCAGGAGTGTATAGATGTTCCAGGCTAGCTCCTGATGCTCAGAATTGAATCCAGCATCAGAGTCCACTTGTGAGAGTGAGTTCCACTGAGAATACTGTCCTATTAATATGGGACCATTAAGTATATGGCTGAGCAGAAAGCAAGCTCTTCATTCAACTGTGACTATTAAAGACAGTGTGCGCCTTGATAAAGAACAGTATCAGGCTGAATTAAAAGACTGTAAGCTGCGCATACAAAGGTAAGACAGCAGAGTGCTGGCACACAGGGTCCGTTGGTAAAGATTGTTGATGCTCCTCCCCTGCCCTCACTCACCCGTGATAAAAGATCAAACGATGATCCAATCCATCTTGACAGCAAAACCCTTCCTTTGCTGCATTCAGAGAGGATAAAACACCAGCCCAGGCATGATTCCCTTCCTCAGTGTATACAGCTCGTCCTCCTCTCAGAGAAGCCCTGTCAATCAACTCCATCTGGCCACTTTTGTTTCCGAATTAGTATCTTAGAGATGAAATCTATAAGAAAAGAAAACCCAATCTCCTTTGAATTCTCATAGTCACAACGTTTGCATAGTCATAGGGATCAGGAACAGTTAAATAATACATGCATTCTTTTGCTTCCTTTTCTCCTTTTATTTGCATTTCCCAACGGATTGAAATAGAGTCCAGCCTGGAAAACAAAGCTGCGATGGTTCCTAAAATACTGTTCCTCTTTCTACGGACCGTACTCTCAGCACAATCACGAGGATACAGTCATAAATGATGTGGCTTTGCTAGCGAGGCTTGCTTATTTGCATGAATACATTGAATTTAATGGTATAAAGAATAAAAACAAAGAGTTTATTATGTTTTCTAGTTTTACAATTGTCATGCCTTCTGTAGGGTCCTTATAGGTATAGTTCTTTCCCAGCTGGCACTAGTTCTCAGTTTTTTAAAATCACCATTCACGGGTTCCTATGTTCTGTGCCTGTTTTACAAAAACAGCTCTCTTTTCACCAGGTTTCAGTTGGTCTAACAATTCGGCAGACCTGCAGTGTGGCTCTAAATTCACACAGAAGCTGAACTGCTCTTGCCACCGCAGGCCGAATCAGCATCATCTGTTATCTGCATCACTGTGGGGCCTCCCTGCCTCCACAGTTGCCCCCTTAGAGTCCATTCTCAAGATAGCAGCCAGGGCGGTCTTTCAAACACACAAGTCAGAACGAGCTGTTCCTCTGCTCAGAGCCCGGCAGGGCCCTCAGAGTCACTCAGAGTGAAAGTCGAAGTCTGTACGATGGCCTACGGGGCCCGCCACAACCTGGCTTCCTATCACATGGTGACACACCTCCCGTTGCTCTCCACTGCGCCACTGTTTTGGTCGCTCTGCCTTCTTGCTATTGTTTGAACACACCACGCATTGTCTGTTCCCTCTGCCGGGAATGCTCCTCCCTGTGTAAGGGTGTGGTTACTTCCCTCACTTCCTTCAGTGTTTGTGCTTGCATGTTGCCTTCTCAATGAGACCTGCCCTGACCACCTTATTTCCAAGTGTGTTCTGGCCCCTCGCCCCAACTCCAGCACTCCTGGTCCTCTTCGCTATGCCCTGAGTTTTCTTTTGTCCATAGAGCTTATCAATTTCTAATAGACCAATTACTTCCTTAAACGTAGCCTGCTTATCATCTGCCTGCCCCAGTGGAACATGTGCTCTGGTGGGGGAGAGATCTTGTTCACTGATGTTCTCTAAGCACAAAGTGGTGCCTGGTGCATAGTGAGCACTCAGGAAATAGTTGTTGAATGAATGAATGAATGCGTCCCCAGTGTCTAGAGCTATTCTGGGCACAGAGTAGCCTCTTAATGCTTGTTGAATGTCTCTCCCTGGGGGAGGAATAGCACTAAGTGTCCAAACGGGAAACCCAGGCAACATAGCTCAGGGACTCAGAAGACTGCGGATCCCCTCAGCTGGCTGGGAGCTTCGGCTCTGCCACGCCCTGGCGGTGCGACCTGGGCAATTCACTTAACCTCTCTGAGCCTCTGTCTTCTCATCTGCAAGTTGGAGATGATAACAGTACCTCCCTTATAAGGTGCTTTTGAGAACTAAATATGAGAATTCAGAAAATGAGTCTGGTAAATGCTCAGTACATTTGAGCTATTCTTGGTATGAGGTGGCATTCTTTTATCCTTCTTCCCAGGTCCTTTCTGACCCCTCGGGATTACTAGGAAACAACAATGCACACCACCTGAAGCGAAAAGCACTTTGTAAACCAATGCCACTCTCCTCTGCAGATGCTAGGGATTATGGTTATTCTTCTGAAGCCCCCAGAAGACCTAGTACAGGGCTGGACATGCAAGAGGTGGCCGGGGAACACTGTCGACTCTGGGAAGGCTGTCAGCACCTGGGGAACCGTGTGAAGCCTGTGACGAGAATGACGCTGGCTCTAATCAATCCCTAGGCTCCCTTGTGCAGCAGAGCCCCTGCCCCGTGGCACCACAGAGGTGGGAGGAGGGCTAGGCTGTATTTCAAAGCTTCCTTCTCCCCTCTTCCTCCCTAGGCTGCCAGAACTTTCGCTTACGGCGAAAGCACAACCGTGTGGCTGGAAGTGAAATTTGCCGTCTGCCCTATCTGGCAGTTTCTGCACGCGGAGTGTTACTATGTTCAAAACATTAACCTGCCTGCGAGTGGCTCATTTACAGAGCGTCTCTCTTCCTAGAGCCGCTGATGGGTGGCCATGGCGAAGCTCTTCGCCCTAATGTGCACTTTCTCTCGCTCGTCCCACCGAGACACTTTGCGTGCTGAGCGCAGCTGCCTGTACGGAGTGTCTACCTCATCTGGCACAGTTCTCTCCACCCTAGAAGAAACAGCCCTGCCCTACACACCAGGGTGGAAAGAAGATTTCTGCTCAAAGCTCGCAACCTTTCTCTGAGGTGGTGGCATACGGAGACCGAAAAATGAACGTGCTGTTTCTTCTTTTAAATGGCGCTGATGAGAAGTCAGTCTCAGACAGACTTTTGACACATGGAGGATCAAGGTATGATTGCCTTTGAGTATTCCTTGCAGAGAAAACAGCTCCTAATTGGACAAGAGAGAGAGAAAGGAGCCAGCTGCTGCTTTCATGATTATTTAAACAGCTATCTACAGTCAAAAACTCCTCGTTGTTTCCTTACCATTGAAATTTGATTGCCACTACTGTTTTCTTCTGGCCTCCCATCTATGCAAATTGGAGAGAAGAAAGAAATTCATAAGGCACTCATTTGGTTCCTAAATGTTTTGTTTGCATATAGACATCAGTAGCCTGAAAATATCCTAGCCAGGGATGTCAAACTGACAACACTGTCTGTTTTTCTATTGTTCTCTCTGAAAATACCATTTTTAACGCATCCGTAAAGGCAAGCCAGGCTGGGTGCTATCAGTGTTTTAGTAAGAGACGGGAGCCCTAGTGGGTCAGTTGTGGGTATTGGGCATTAATGAAAACCATTTCTGGGAGAGTTCAGTTTATAAAAGATTAAAAGAATTCATCAACTTGAAAAAAATTTTGTTCTACCCGTCTCTGCTGACAGCCATGTTTGTGCTGGGGATTGAGTATTATATAATGATGTGTACAGCAGTTTATAGTTTCCAAAACATTTCTGCCTCCCGTATGTCATGTGACCCTCGCAAGGACCCTGTGAGGGAGGCAGGGCAGTTTTCTTACCCTCATTCTACAGATGAGAAAACTGGGTCTCAGAAAGATGGGGACTTATCAGTTGTCACAGAACATACCCCACCCGGGTCACTTGCCTCACGGTGCCTAGTTCCTATTGTCTGGTTGGCAGATTCCTTCTTATCCTTCCAAGCCTGAATAACGTTTCCCCTTCTCTGTAGCTTTTCCTGTTCCTCTCTGCTGCCCTGAAACCGTTCATTGATTTAACCAATATCAACGAGCCACCACTATGAGTGTCGCAGATGGAGATGCAGCCTCGTCGACATAACTGTGCGGCTCCTGGAGAGGATCTTGCTGTCTATCTAGTGACATGTTATGTCTAACCCCTGGGGTCTCGGAGGGGACCAAGAAATAGCACCCATCTATCTTGACCAAATTCCAAACTGATTGAGAAATAAAGAGTATCCGGCAGCTGGTGCCCAACGTGTATCATCTTTTGTTACTGAGAAGGGTGAAGTAGTGTTACTGCCCAAGTGGGCTCGTCTGCTCCCCGCAAGGCATGCCACTAGTCAGGAGGCAAGGTGGTAGGAGAGAAAGGACTCTATTACAGCTTGCTAGCAAGGGGAAGAGGGCCAACTAATGTCTGAAAGAACCACCTTACAGAACAAAGACTACAGGCCAATTATATAGCGGGCTGGTCTCCAGGTCCAGGAGGTGGCTGGTCTGTGGGTGGGGCAGACATCTGGTCCCAGTCCCTGGTAGTCCTTTGTTTTACTGGGTATGCATCAGAGAATGGAGCAGCTGCCCTATACCCTGACCTTTCAATTGTTATTGATGATGGCTATCAGCATAGGCTCTCTACCTGGGGGTCATCACATTCCTAAGGAACTCAAAAGAACAGAGTTATGAACTTATAGCAGCTGGGAGGGGCCACCAAATCTACAGAGCTTGTCTGGGCTAGTTAATCAGAGGTCACTTAAAGTTACGATATGATTTCTTTTCTACAATATGGCTTCCCTTATGTCAACCTTGTGTTGAGCCGGTATCAATAGGAGTATGTGGCTCAGTGGGAGGGCCAAATGCGCCTGTGAACTGAAACCCAAAATTGGCCAAACCCCTACCCACTCGTAGGCAGAGAGGCCTGGGAGGGCCTCCCCGGCCCCAGGATAGGCAGGAGCTGCCCCTGGAGCTCACAGATGCCGGCTTCTTGCTGGTGGAGGCTCTCAGGAGGCAAGACAGGTGAGGGAGCTGCTGAGCAGAGCACCCAGCACCCAGCACCCAGTTGTTCTCGCACATTTACCTCTGACGTCACACTAGGAGCGAGTAAAGAGTGTCCTTAGGGCAAAATCTCTCAAGGGAGGCAGAGAAGGGGAACGTGTCCCCCTCATACCAATCTAACTCGGGCTCACTCTGTGGGTTCAAACCCAGAACCCCAGGACGGAGAGGTCCTGTCCCCCCACTGGAGCTGGCGGGGGCTCCTCTGAGTGGGCTTCCGACCTACGATGGTACCTACTGTGTGCTGTCAGTGTCTCTGTCTGCTCTATAATGTGAGAGACTCCAGGGCAGAGACCATTTCTCCACCAGCAGCCAGCGCAAGGCCTGCGCCGGGCAGCACCCCACTGTTGCTTGTTGAATGCACGCACAGCATGGTGACTCAGCCCAGGCCACCAGAGAACAGGGCCAGAGGCCACAACCCTGACTCTGCCCTGTGCTGCCTCAATGGTGGCTACACGATGACACAGTACCTACATGCCCCCAACCAAAAAAGGAGGGAGGGCGATGACACTAATAACAGCTAATGCTCGTGAGGACCCGCTGTGTGGCAGGCGCCCTGGTGTTTACACACACATGCCTCTCACAACCCCCTTGAGCTAGGTACTAATGTTTCCTCATTCCATGATGAGGAAACTCATGCTCAGAGAGGTTTAGGCCCCAGCCAAGCTCACACAGCTAGTAATGACACTAATTTAATCCTGTGCTCTTAGCCCTGACAGAATATGGTCAGGAATTTAACAAAAACACAGCGACCCAAAGGCTAAGCATTTGCTTATGGAAATATCCAGGGATGTTTTCCCTGTCACCAGTCTTTGTTATACACTCCCAGTGATGCGGCACAGAGCTACTCAAAGCTGATGGGAAAACAGGTACCAGCTGTGACAAGATTAGAACAGAACTGAGAGCCAGCCCTGATGGTGAACTCCACTTGGGCAGCCCGGGTTTGGTTCCCGGGCACGGAACCACACCACCCGTCTGTCAGTACCATGCTGTGGTGGCGGCTTACATAGAAGAATTAGAAGGACCTACAACTAGAATATACAACTATGCACTGGGGCTTTGGGGAAGATAAAACAAAAGAGAGAAGATTGGCAACAGGTGTTAGCTCAGGACAAATCTTTCCCAGCAAAAAACAAAAAAAGAGAACAGAAGCAAGAGTAACATTTAGAAACATTTGTGACAACTGACACGACTGCTATACCCAAGTGATGAGCACTCGTCTCATTGAGCAGGAGGGACCATTAGGATGATACCAACTTACGTGATGAGTCACAAGTGGCCTGAGCTGTGTACTAGTATCTGATTGTAAATGTTTAAAATTGGTTCTTTAGGGGCTTGCCCGGTGGCGCAGTGGTTAAGTGCGCACATTCCGCTTCTTGGCAGCCCGCAGTTCGCCTGTTCGGATCCTGGGTGCAGACATGGCACCATTTGGCAAGCCATGCTGTGGTAGGCATCCCACATATAAAACAGAGGAAGATGGGCACGGATGTTAGCTCAGGGCGAGGCTTCCTCAGCAAAAAGAGGAGGATTGGCAGTAGTTAGCTGAGGGCTAATCTTCCACACACGCAAAAAAAAAGTAAAAAAAATAAATAAATAAAATTGGTTCTTTATCATAGTTGGTGAAGCGCCAACGCTGTAGTACTGTGTCAGTTAGCTTGGGAATGGGACGGCGATAGCTAGGAGAGTTTTGTCTGCTTCTCTCTGTTGACTACCTGGGTGGGCCCCGACAACTTCCCTTTGACAGTTAGAAGTGAGAGGCTTGGGCTGGATTCTCTCTAAGGTCCCTTCCACTCAGTGGCATATCCAGCGTGTTTACTGCCAGAGCAAATCATTTTTGTTTTTTTTACAATTTTAAAATTTTGTTCTTATTGAAAGAGTATCTTATACTTAGATGTTTATCTTCTATCTCTCTTGTGCGTTTGCACATCAGAAAAAATAAATGAAGTGAATTGGTTCAAGCATTCCTAAAATTTCTTCTTCGAAGTTTGACCCTTCCAAGTCAGCTCTTGTTCGCTACGTCCTTCCCTTCCGCTCTCCCCGTGGTGGTGTTCTTGGTACCATCGAGGCTGAGATGAACCTCTTGCAGCATCTCTCACAGAGTGCTCCATTACCGTCCGCAGGATCTTCTTCCAAGCTGCTGCTGGCTTTGACACACAGGCTCCAGCAGTGACAATGCATCCTGACCACTCCCCGGCCGGGGCGATGGAGAGAAACATTCTGATTCCATATAGGTTAAAATGTGAATAAAAACATACATTTTAGAATTGATGAAATATGGTATTTTGCTCACTTGCCTCTGCCTTCTCCCATCTTTGCTAATAGCAGCATCAGGGCAGCAAAACTTAATCTAACAGAGCAAATCATTTTTAACCTCTATATAAGAAAATTATTTTCATCAGTAATCATGGAGTAATCAGAAATTAGCACTAACTCCTTGATTTGTTCTTTAATTTTAAAAACAACTAAATAACAAAGAGCGATTTCATTCTGAAAGATCCCTCAACGGTGGTAAAATATATCACGTGTGAACTAAAATTCGCATCTACCAAACAAAAATATCACACCTCACAGTTGACGCTCTGTTGGCTGTTTTAACTGTGAATACAAATAAGCGGTCCCAGAAGTCACACAGAATTGGAGTAACTCGAGTTCCGTTTCTCCGTCTTTACAGGCACTCGGCTCTCACTGTTGGTTGGAGCCTGTTGTTGACACCCAGGAGCGAAGGCCGGCAGGGTGGACACAGACTGAAGGGAGCCCCACAGTTCCGTGTGGTCAGGACCCAGGGCTGACTGTGTAACTGGGAGTCACCCAGTAGGATACAGTATTTCCTAAAGGATACGTAATGACAGTGTGCCAACGTGAAGCTTACGTATCTGTTACTAAACCTCCATAGCAATGGCAGCCATGCTTTGGAACTTAGGCAAATAGGATGGCGGAGTGGGGAGGCTATTTTATCACATTGTTTAGAAATGTTGGCACGTGGTGATAATAAAAGGCAGATAATTTTAATTTTACCTGGGCTTGAAAAAAAATTATTAAAAAAAATTCTGTATAACGTACCCTCTTATTGCTTGAATCCAGGGTAGACCACCCCCCCATGCCCACCCCAACACCTTCTCCTTGCTATGCTGCTGCTTCCGGGTATAGTGGTTTGTGTATTTCAGGGGACTGAAGATCACTTGGTTGTAAAGAGCACTTGCTCTTCTGGTTCAATAGGTTTTAGTTCTGGGCCAAGGGAGGGGGAAAAAAGCAATCAGCATTAATAGTAGGCAACATTGACTGCAGCCTTGCTTTGCGCCAGGCACAATGCCAAGGGCTCGGTGTGTACTCTCTCTTCTTTCTTCCAGATGCATCCCTATGAGATATGTTCTATTATTATCTCTAGTTTACACGTAGGGGAACTGAAGCTCAGAGAGGCTAAGTAATTTCTCCAAGGTCACACAGCTAGTAAGTGGTAGAGGAGGGATCTGAGCATAATAGTCGAACTTGAGGGCCTATGCTTTTGACCTTCAAGCTCTACTGCCTTCTACTATGTGTCCACCTATCACAGGTACATCAAACAGAAGACAGCACACCACAATAGAAGAGTGGCCATTTCGGGGTATCTCTTCAGAGACAGGAACTGTAAATACACTATCATATTTAATCCTGACAACAGCCCTGCAAAGGAGGTATTTAGGACACCCTTTTATGTAGCAGGAGAATGACATTCAGCAAGGTTAATTGCTTTTAGACTAAAGAGTCAGTAAATCATGGAGCTGGAATTCAAACCTACACTTTTTTCTGTGCCTTTTTTGTTATTTCACACTTCCTGCCTTAGGCCCCCAGTGCTGTATGGTGCATTGAACCAGAAATAAATAGGTGCACACACAATTTGAGAAAATCCCTATGCATAAGAAACAAGATGCTGTCAATCTAGTTGGAGAGCTAGGTACTTGATTTCCCAGCCTGCTTTGCAGCGATGGTGGCACAGTCCAGGCCAATGAGATGTTAAGGGGAAGTCTGCTGGTGGAGATAGGTGGGTTCTTAGAAGGCTTTTGCTCTCCTCAGCTGTTGAAGACCTTCCCCACTTCTTCCTTCCTTGAACACAGATGGCAATGCTGGATCTGCAGCAGCAATTTTGTAACCATGAGGCATAAGCCAAAGGAATCTCAGAGAGGACTGCCCTAATATCACAGAGCTACTGAATAAATACCAATAACTGTCTA